TTGTGCTGATTGGGGTAATTATCTGCACCTGCTCCTCCCGAACCTTGTTAAATAAAACATCATTTAAACTGATAAAAAAATATTAGAGATGGAACAAAAACAACAAAATACCGGAGACTGCAAAAACAACAAACCCGCATTGACAAGCACTTGTGTCAGGATGTTATGAGATAGCCGCAACTTTACTTAAAAGAATACAATGTCATTTTATCGGTCATAACTTCTGGAGAAAACTAGAGCAGACATTGGTCAAAGTTGAAACTTTCGAAAAAGCATATGTCGACCATAGTGTATACATGATGCTATGTATACGTAGATTCCACATTCGACCACTCCAGACACGTAGGCAAGCCCGCCATCTTGGAACGGTCAGTGTGTCGTCACTCACAGTAGGAATCAATGATGCCACAACATTGCTCAGCTTCTAGTTGTGAAACTAAAGAGATTTCAATTCCCGAAGAAATGGGATAACCTTTCACAGGTGTTTTTTTATGTATTAATTCAATATTACAGCTTTTTACTATGGTACTTTTGGATGTTGTTACATTTTCTATGGTAACTTTTTAATGTCGTGGTTGCCTACGCCTTCATCTTGTATTATGTTAGTTTTTCAAAATCATCTGCTGAAGTCTACAGCAGATATAGATGTTCATGCATCTAACTATGGTTGCAGACACTCAGTCAACTTGCACTTGAGTGTTCACAGACCGACTTTAACCTTTCCAATATGGCAGACAGCTTACGTATAGCGGCCCATTGAAACAGACGCTAATGAGGCATCGATGTATATTTATATACACATATATGGTGTTGACCGCCTGCATTCACGCTATCAAATAGAGTATCCTTTGAAAGGCTACATGCTCGACTGTACACATACACTAGCGTACTCGTAAAAAATGAAGTATACTTTGGGCTTTATGAAGACAGTCACTTGTTGCCACTTACTGGCGTAATAATGTAATATGCAAAAAGATACTGTTACATCATACATTGTACTGTTACGTAGATTTTAGAGAATATAAGATAAAGAATGACTCTTTATGTGTTTTAAAGTCCACCTGTGGTGAAAATACAGTTTTTAATGTTGTTTATATGTCTATGTGGTGTTTTTAATGTGCTTAAGACAAACCAAGTGCAAATTCAGAAGTCAACACCATTGCTGAGTATTCTCTCTTTAAAACTGCAGTGAACCAAAGACAGTCTCAAAAACACGGTTTGAAATCGCTGGTGTTTCTGACGTCACAAACTACCTAATAACCAATCACGTCAACGTGCGGGCGGGATTTAGCATATCATTAACACCAAACTAGCAGGGGAGTCTCGAGAGATGCCAGGTTATCCCGGTATATTTTTCAATGGGTAGATTTAGCAATAGCCGAGCGGGTGTATGATGTATATTACGATGTTATGATGAACTATATGCATTTCTCCACGGACCTTCTGAGTTGTTCAAAGCGTTTCTGATGATTGTTAGAAGGCAGCTGTCTGACTCTGAGATGGTGAACGGGAACATGGTTTGTGTAACATTAGCAACACATTATTAGCTGTTTGATAATGTAGTCAAGCAAAAGGCAAATCATATGAATTACTGTTATGTGTCTGACGTAAAGAGTGTTTACCTTTTTTTAGTAAGTTGAGCAAGTGAATCTCTGAGCTGCTGTGAGTGAGTGGAGGCGGGGCTAATTAGCATATTCATGGCTTCCCACATATTAAATGAAGCAAGGGTGTAGAGTTGCATTCAAGCAATTTTAAGGCATGGAGATTTTTTTTCCCCAGGAAAATTTCTAAATATGTCATTTTGGTGATCAAAGATTAGTTTTAAGGGATACAATTATTGACTACAGGGGGACTTTAAATTAATATATTACATAAAGAATTGGTTTTGAATGAGTTATGCTGGCTGTGTTTGCACTTCTGTTGGTGTAAAGAATAACTTGAACTTGTCAAATGAAAACTTTAGCTTTGTTAACACAAAGGATATGTGTGGCAACATTTAAAGGGTATTAGAGACATTCTCACACAACAATATTTAATAATAGCATTTCAAAGAGAGCGCATATTTAATGATAAATCAACTTGCCCTGTCTGTCATAAAAAAGTCATTTTTAGATTTTAGTCTTTGGCTTTTATGAAAATGAAGCAGGAGTAAAGTTAAAAGTTAGAGATCTATTTGATGGCTTAAGATTAACATGCCTCTAGACATCAAATCTTTTTGCGGTGAGAGAATCCTAGTACAAAGACACGCTTGAACTAGGTATGAACTAGGACAATTCGCTGTAAATGGACTTATTGCAAGTAGTGCCAAAGGGAAGAATAATCACATGGATGAAGAATGTAATAGGTGAGAAATCCATTCTGTTCTTACCACTTTTTAGTTTTTGTATTAAATTATAGTGAGTTTGGTAAGGAAAACAGACAGGTTTTATTTCTCACTTATCCTTTAACTCCATACAGAACATGCAGATGTGTCATCTGCCCCTGCATTATTGTAAGCAGATCTTTGTTCAGGTGTTTGCATTGGCACATAGCTCGAAATAAATACAGCGTAATAGATTTCTGCTGTTTCTTTTGGGAAACCCCATTAAGGTAATTAGTTTGAGCTGTGGCTCTGGAAAAAGCTCCACTTCATCTGCAAGGTTCAGTTGCTCAGTACACGGTGGGAGGAAATGCTTTTGTTCCTCAATTCAGGTCACTGACATGCAGAATTTAACAGCCTGTACTGTACTATTGAAATCACACTGGGCTAAAGTCTTGATTATGTCATGCAATGACCAAAAAATAAAGCATTCTGTATTCAAGACTTCTTTCTTTCTCTTTCTTCCTAAAACCACGGGTACTCTCGTAATGCCAAGCTGTGGTGGTAATGGAGCACAGTACTATATCCTCCAGAATCCTCGATCATTTCGGGAAAAAGGTCTAGTTATTTTGCACTTTCAGTGAGGTAACTAGACCTCTTTGATAGGATCATTCAGCACATGGTGGGTGAGCATCTGGATTATGAGCTTCTCAGAGGAGGAATATGAAGAATACTGGATCGGTTTATGTGAAAAAAAATGATTTCAGTCCATATGTCTATATGTGGATGATGTGCAAATCTGATTACCACAAGAAAATAAATTAGGAACGTATAACGCATTTTCATCTTTTATGCCCTTAAATCTTTAAACGTTCTCAATAACTCATCTAGAGTTATGAGGGGGGAATCCAGTCTTTAATCTAACTAGCTTTACATATTTAAAATAATAACAGCAGTTAACCTCCAGCACACACAGAGCCTTTCTGAAAGAGCCTTTCTGTTGACTTTTCTCATGTTGAAAGAAAAAGTCTCATATCTGCCATTTAAGAGTGTATGAACTTCTATTGTGCATGCTTTGTTACAAAATCTGTTAAGGGGTTGTTGGCAATCGGCATCAGAAACCTTTATCAGGAGTCTTAGCCTTTATTCTTATCTACACTCTTTGATAATTAATTCAAACAACCACATCTTTAAAGTATCTTTAAGCTTTAAAACACATCTCTATGTTTTAATTACAAGATCTTAAGGGGTCAACCCGAGAATTCAGAAACCTCTCATATTTAGGTCGCTGGAATTACTTGCTTATGCGGTGTCTGTTCTCCTGATTTCGGTCTTCAAATCATTATCTAATACGGAGTAACCCGGGGGACGGTGTATTAAATCGCTTGGGTCAGAGGTTAAAAGCAGTTCAGATAATTACACAGGTTGATGGATTAAAAGCCAGTACTGCAAGAATAATGATCATGATCTGTGAATAAGAGGTGAGTAAAAACGACTCTTTGAATGACTTTTTTTGTCTATTGGTGACAGAACTAACATGGATTTCAAGGTCAAATCTGTGAGTAAAGCTTGTTCATTTTTTTGGTGGGACTTTCCATATGTAATGGTTGTCTGCATGTGAATATGAAACATCATCCACATACTGCTAAAAATGTTTTCTATTGTGTTTCTATTTTCTTTTTCAGTGTGTCTTTTCTTATTAAGAGTCTATCCGTTGCAGGTGCAGAGCAGGTGGATAAATAAAAAATAAAGCAAGAAAAACCCCTCCAGACTCGTATGAAAAGGCTCTTTCACAGCACCATTGAGGTTCTGTATATCACATACAAAAGATGATTCTTTATGCACCCATAAAAAGGTTTTATTTAGCACCAAAAAAGGTTGTGCTACTGCTAAAAACCAAACAAAATCCCACAAATCGAGTGCTCTTAGAGCCATTTTTAACATAGTCTATATATTATTGCTCTTAGTCTTTGTTTTTGTAAAAAAAAAAAAAAAAAAAAAAAAAATATATATATATATATCATTTAAGCTTTCAAAACTTTCTTATGCAGATATCGAAGCATGACAATAAGCATGGCAATGAAGAAAGATTGACATTATCTTTACAATTAGATTTCCAGCTACTGACTCACTTCCATAGTGTCAACCAAAATGGATCCCTCTTAAGGGGGCTTCAATACTCTCACTGTATTTTGTATTATTTCAACACAGATATATTTAGGGAGTAGATAACCACAGAGTGGGTGATGTAATCACTCCAGAAACAGAACAAATGAGAGTTTAAACATTTATGATGGAGCCATTCATTCGATCCCAGCGTTAAACAATGCCATGCACACAACTGCAGCGGCAGCCCACGGTATAGTGACAGTAAATAGGCTTATTTCACAACAGCATTGTGCTCTAAGCATCTCCTTTTCTCTTATACATATATATATATATGCTAAGTATAGAATAAGAAAATCAAAAAGTGGTGCAGAACCAACAAAGTTTTGCACCACAAGCAAAACTTTGAATACAATATGCGTTATATATGTATCATTTATATGTAATTCACAAGTGCATTATATTGCGTAGAGGTATATTGAGCACTTAAACAAGGAGAAACCATGCTTTTAGACTGTTTCAGGAGCATAAATGTAGAGCATAGTTTATGCTGAGCTCGTGGGGAAAGAGAGGAAGTAGGCTACAATCAACTTACGCATGTTGTTTGCTCTCGCTTGCACAGTGTCATAATGCTGTGTGTGCATTCCGATGGCCTCCTCATGCTGACCCTGACGGGCGCCTTGCATGACGCTTGCAACAGCTCTGTTGAAGAACAAGCAATTTGTTAGCTTAGTATGCATTGAATTCCCTTGCATTGTGTAATCATTCTGTATTTAGATATCAGCACAGCTGAACGGCATACAGTGATATAATGTCGGTAGACTGACATCTATTCATTCAGTGCTATCGCTGCCGCTGTCCAGAGTGCTGATTCCAAGAGTACAGCTTTTTGTGTGAGCCGCTCTTTCAGCAACCTGCACACTGTGGGCTGTGCAGCTCTCATCAGAGGTTTTGACCCACTATATCAGTAGGAACAAGAGATTTACACCTCCACCATCCAAGCTGAGTAACTAAATGGTAAAAACTGACAACCAAACGTTATGCAATATGATGTAATATCTAAAACGGTTTGTTCAGTTCTCTTGGTTTACATGTGCAAGCTAACCATGCTTTCTTGTGAATCTCTTGAGATCTGTGATTCAAGAAAGCCTTTTGAAAGAGAGCTTGCATAACACAAATCCATGAATTTAGAAACCATAATGAACATACACAGGATTGTTTTTGCTCTAATTAGGCATGAATATGCATGGGCAGGATAGGCACAACAGTAAATGCAGAGCTATGGCAACCAACATTTTTGGCTCAAAAGCTGCAAAATATTGAGTTGGTGAGGAAATTCTTTGCCTGGAGATTTTTTTTTTTTTTGACCAATTCTTGGATGGAGTAAACAATTTTCAGCCTAAGATGCCATTCACACAGAGTGCGTTTTTATTTATTTATTAGCTTTTAATTTTTGACCAATGTACACATGCATCAGACCTTCTTTTACTGTCTCACGCTATGAGTGCTTTCCCTCTTTCTCCCACTTTTCTTTTTTGTAAACTATCCCATCTAAATTATGTATATAAAATAAATATAAATGATGTCCAAAAAATGGTCATCTGCGATATGCTCAATTCAGTTTATCTAGTTGTTTTTGAATGCACCATGTGTGAATGGCCCCTATAGCAATCACTCACAATGGATCGTTTGTTCAAAAACAGAGAGATGCACAATGGAATTGCGCCTCGAGATGCGCAATTTTAAAAGAGAATATCTCTTAACTGGACAAAAATGTAACGCTCATGTCACCACACTCTGAAAAAGCAGCGAGATGGGATGGAAAGTCAAAGACATCGGTCTAGCTCTGTTTACATGGGGAGGGAAAACATTAAAAGCAGTGCAGACCGACACACATCACACTGCTTTTACCATAAACTAAAAATAATAATATAATTTACTTAGTCAAGCCAATATAACTATCAGTTACCTACCGAGACATGCTCTCTCTGTGAGGTCTGTGAGCCTTTTCTAGTCCAAGTTTGGTAAATATCCCGACAAGTGCCATGATTGCCACTACTCCACATATGATATATACAATCAAGTTTGTTTTATCCTTGGTTGGATCGTGTCTAGGGTCTATGGTTTTCTTATACGGTGTCTGTCCTGTTAACCATACTGGTGTATCGTAATTTTTACATGTGCTCTGATCCAATCGAGAGTGTTTAAAAGCGCAGCAAAATCGGAAGCCACAAGTGCCGCAACAAAATAAATAATTGCCCGTTTGACAAACGAACGGCGGATCCCACTGTCCCATGACATCATAGTAACCCCGACATTTGTCTTCAGTATGTGGAGGTTCAGAAACGCTCTCCTCATCCCGGGACCCATTGGATCCTGAGAGCATTATAAAGCCCTCGAGCTGCTGCGCTTCCCCGTCCGCGCTGCACAGCAGCACCAGAACTTTCACAAAGAAGTATTCTAACAGCAAGGCTGTCCATTTCATCCTGTAGTCTCCTGGGGGCTTCCTTGGAAGGACAAATTGAGACAGAGAAACGACTCACTGACAGCAGGGCATAAATCCACACGAGTGAACAAAGCCATTCGGAGAGGTTTGCATTTTCAAAAAGGTAAATTTAGACTGCAGTTTTTTTCTAAAGTCCACTCTGACAGCTGCGGATCGCAATCCCAATTGTTCTGCTGATTCTCAAGTACTTTTAGCCCCCTGAAAGCACTGCACCAACTACCCTGAAGGCTGTCTTTGTTTGTGATGATGACTGGAGAGCTGAGGCAGAACTGTGGAGCGCGCGCGCTGAGAGTGGGAGAGACAGTGCGTAAAGGGAAGGAGGAGACATGGGAGGGATTGGACACGAAAAAGTGTTCTTCTAGTAAAGAATCACAATGAAAAGTTGCCGTCTGGCTTGAGTTACTATATGCAACTTGTAAAAGATTATACGTTCTTATCAGGTGCGTAAAATAACTTCTGAAGGCTCCAGCCTAAAAATAATAATAATAAAATCACAACATAAGTACCCTATGCAGCTCGCAAATCAATGCCATTACGTGCAACTAGACTATGCATATGAGAAAAGACTATTTAAATGCTAAAGGTTTGTGGTTTATTTGCGCAATGCGTGGGTCTGCGCAACCCATTTGCGAGGTCTCTACAGTGCCTCGAGGTCTCTACATTATCTAATTCAAAGCCGCAGTTAAGCTGCAACTTTTTTGGGTTAAAAATTATCCAAAATAAAATTGAGCAAGTGCATAACCAGCCAGTGTTCAAAACTATCTGCTTGCCTTAGCTCGATTCAAAACGGTAAGCTTGTAACGTTAATAATGTTTTTAATTCCAGTGGCAATGGTGGATTTCCGCGGGAAATTCGAGCATGTCTTTGCGTCGTTACGTCACATCTGTACACGCATAAAGAAGGAGTCTCGGCTAGTATGTTATATTGCGTGTGAGGATGTTGGAGGTGGAGATTTATAGCCTTTTCTCACAGCACTTTATATAATTAAACTAATTAATTTGATGGCGAACCCAGAAAGGTTCAAACGACAATAGCCTACTAGTGACAACAGATTCACCCGCTGTAAAATGCAAACGACTTCGGAGTGGCTATAGAAAAAAAGAGACTGCACCGGGCCCATGCGAAAACAAGGATAAATATTGGAAGGGCTTTTGAAAGGTGGCGTGTTCTCCGTGTTTTGGGGTTCAAAACGGACGCATTTCAATGGTCATTATGTAACAGCAGCAGCAGCACACTTGTTTGCTTAATTCATACAGTTACGGAGTACTGAACTGAACTACAACCAGGTAGCCTATACACATTAAATGTAGTCACGCAATGCTGATGTTGTAAACTTTAACAATTTGAGAACAAAGTATAATTTGCACGGTTTGACGTGATATGATGAGCGATCGTTACATTTAATCAGTGCGATTTACTGCATGCTTTTCCCCCCTTTGTTGGTCAGAACAAAATGGCGCTTTTCCACTACACAGTACCAGCTCGCCTTGGCTCGACTCGACTCGCCTTTGTTTGGTTTTCCACTGTGTAAAAGTTGTACCTGTACCTGCTTTCGGGTACTTTTTTTCGTACCACCTCCGGCGAGGTTCTAAGCGAGCTGAGGCGAGCTAAGCCGATACTAAAATGTGACGTGAAAACAATGCCGACTGCTGATTGGTCACAGAGAATCTGCGTCATCATTGCACGCGCCAGATGGAGTATCCAGAATAACCCCGCCATTTTTAAATAGTTTGGCCAGAGATAGTTACTAAACTTACTACTATTATAATGGCAACTCGGAAGAATACGCCGTGGTCAAACGAGGAGGTGCAGACATTCCTTTGTTTGGTTGCCGAAGAGAGGATCCAGCGAGAGCTTGATGGGGCAACGAGAAACGAAAGGCGTCGCTATGACGACCGGGTACTATTTGTGGTGGTACTTTCTGCAATGGAAAACGGAGCGAAAAGCGAGCCGAGTCGAGCTGGTACTGGTAATGGAAAAGCGCCAAAAGTGGATGTTACTTACTTGTTCAGACGATATTTTCTGGTGAATTTTCTTATGTTGGTCATACTTCCAAAAAGTATAATCTGTGATTCTGAATGCCAGTATCGACACCGGCACGGTGACTGACAGCCGCACATTCTCCTCAAAACATTGGATTCATCCGCGCTGTGCCTTGCTGAGGCACAACCCACGTAAAGTTGATAATTCCGCCAATAACTGCAATTGCAGATTTCGAACAGAGATGGCGACAAAGAGGAAAAAGTCCCTCCAAACATGTAAGACGAAATGGATAGTCTATTTGGATTTTGCAGATGTTACAGTTTTGGTGTTTATTTCTACTTTTTCAATTGTAATTTTTACTTATTTACTTTGTACAGCCCCTGATCCCCATCCATTTTAATTGGAAATCAGAAATCCTGCTAAATGTTTTTGTTTTTCAAGTCATTCAGGTTGCTAAGTAAATTATGACAAAAGTGTAATTTATGGCTGAATATTAACCAGAGTAGCCTAGCAATTCCTTTGTATAGCATAGCCTACGTCTTCCAATAGAATAACGTGAGAAACAATTCAACTTTTTATATTAAGGACGCCTCTATACTTTATGAATAAATGCTCCTGACTATTTTATGCCTACCACATTTGTTTTGAACGTATTTTAAGCTACCAGATGTAAACTACCTGTTTGCATGAAAAGTGTGCTTTATATGTAAATAGCCTACATACATCGCAAAAGAATTATAGATTAACAAGGCTAGCCTACATGAATTAGACTATCTAATGCAACCAGAACACGTCGTCGAATCTCACATTTATTTCAAACTTTGATCTGATTTAAAATTTCACCGAGTTATAGGCCTACTGTAAAGAATCAAAGGATACTTAGAAATAAACCAATTTAAGATTTTTTTTAGTTAAATCCTCACGTTTTACCCTAAACGTTTACTTTGCGGTTTGTTTATTTAAACGTTGTATCATTTTTGTAATACTGTCCATATATAAGTGTCGTTGTCCTTCAATTTGTACATCTGAAAATATATCCAAATTGAATTGAGCATTAAAGAGCCGATCTTCGAGTCAGACGGTGGTTTTCTAGACTAGAGGAGTACGTCCGAACATTCTCAGGCATTGCTAATACATCCCCAAACGCATCGATTCAAGAACGCACTGTTATTAAGTAACCAATGCTTTAACTGGTTTAGCAAACGCCCTCATTTTGTTACCAAACAGAAAAACGAAACGTCATCGTAGGAAATCCAGATTGAACATTTTATTGTCATATACTATAGGGCGTTTCGATGGCAGAGGACGAAAGTGTCTTTCTGAGGGCGAAGGATCGGAGTTATAAGGGACTGACTGAAGGTACGGTTAGCTGAGGCTAGCTAACGTCGATTTACATTATAGATGATGCAGTGAAACTTTTATTATGACAGTATGTTTTGGTTTCTAGTCTTTTATATATTTTATAAGCACTGCAATCCAAGTTTATAATTCCTTGTAAAGTCTTTGACCGGGGTGTACTTCCAACAAGTCTTTGACAAGCACACTACCGCTTCTTTATTACGACTATTATTTTGATAGCAGACCTTTCAGTAAGTATTCTGTCACAAATATCAAACCACCTTGAGAATGTGCCGTAGATAGTTGCAGGTCAATTTAGTTAGAAACTGTAATGTCACATGACATGTATTAACCAGCGTTGACCTAATATAGGCTAAGTGGGTTAAAATGCGCTAAATCAGTGATTATCTACTGTTTATTTATTTTTAATTTTTTTTGCTTTAGGAGGGCCCAGATTTAAACATATCAAACGTTTATAGTAAACAAAAACCAACAATATGCAATTATTCACATGAAATTGGAAAATCTGTATAAATAGCAGAAGTGCTGCACTTCACTGAAGTGATTTCGAATTTGCACCACTGTACCCACAGAGTTTGCAAGGACAAACCATCTTTGACAATAACTACAAAAGATATGGCATTTTCTCTCTTTGAAAAGCCCATTTATTTTGCAGTCCTGTGATGTGCAATAAAATATTTAAGTACGTTTAGCATAGTTTTTCCATATCAGAATAATAGACATGACTGCTAGAATAAATCCGCTGATTTTCTTGTATAAAGTGCTGCAGTGGCAACATTTTTGTAGGCTAATCCAGAAGTTAGCATCACCCTGGTTCCCTCTGTAAATTTTTCAGTTGGCTTTTAGGTTATTGCAGAAAAGCTCTGTGACCAACAAAAGTTTATGATTCGTTCTCGTTTTGTTCTTCATCATAATCTTCGCAAAATAACACAACTTTTATGCTTTTTTTTTAAGCCTAAATACAATAGGCAGAAGAAAAGGCTAAACGCCATAAATGTCAATGTCACCACCCGTAAGCACCAACAACTCTTTCAGTCTTTATTTAAAAAACTTTTTCCCTGAAAGTTTGAGTTAGTATAGTTTATGATTACTTATCATATTATAGGCCTATGTCGTAGAATAAATCATGAAAATATATTGACCTTGTGTTAACCACAGACTTTATTTCAGGCGTTTAATCAAAAACCCATTGACTTTGACGATGGAACCGGAAGTTATTTCTGGGTTTTGGCCTTCCAAAATACATCATTTCTGAAGCAATCTATTGCTACCACTAATGTTGGTAGTGCCGAGATCAAAAGTGCATTATGGGTGTTGACGTTTTTGGCAAAAAGGGATTGCCACAGCCATTTTTCTCTAGTTTTCTCTAGTCACATAGCTGTTTTACCAATCTTGCCAGTGGTGAATTCCCCCTTTAACTTAAAGTTGCGATGAAATAGATGTATGTAGCAACAGACCTTTTTTCCCCCCATTTTGTGACATACAGTGCACTACAAGAACAAAATGCCTATTTGTTCACTACAAGAACAAAAATGTGGCTTGTGACATTTTGATTAAAATGAAGAGGCCAAATAAAAAATGTAAACAAAACAATGGAAAATAGATGCATAGGTAAATTGTTCACAATAATATCATTAAAATGCATTTAGAAAATAGATTTAAAATTTTAATTTCATGCAGACTTTGGTTTTGGTGTTTTTCAGTAAGAGTTTCAAGTGTTTTCTGTCCCTGTGTGGTTTCTCTGCTGACTGTTTATGTAAATCCAGTCTGAAATCTTCATCCCAGACTAATTTCTTGCTTGTTCTTTGCTTTGCACTGGCAGTGTTGACATCTGCAACTTTTTTTTTCTTTTCTTTTTTTATGTGAAAAACCTACAGCAGTGGCTGTTAGTGGATGCTGTGAGTTGAGTTGATATTTTAATGCTTTATCACAGGAGGCTTTTATCTTGACTTATGATTAGGTTAGCAGTATTTGAAAGCTCTGGGAGTCATCTGAGATATCCCTCTGATTTATGTTTGCTGAAAGAGGCTTGTGCTTATCGGCTGTCATGGGAGCTTTGTCTGCTCCTCTCAATTCATGTTGTTTAAAGTTGCCTGAAAATAGTTTCCAGTCTCTGGGGACTGTACATGAAAGTGTTAGACAACAAACAAGATTCCAGGCAGCAGATGGTACATTTTAAATGGTCAGATATCATGTGTTTTTATTATATTTATTTATTTTAACCAGGTTTTGTGCTTTCCCAAAGTGATGCTCGGAGCATAGCAAACACTTCATCTTGTTAGAAAGACAAAACGAATGGATTGAAACAACTTGGTCGGCCCATAGAGGTTTGTGTTGAAACTTCATGCTGCATTACTAATTAAAATGTAGCTCATTCGAAAATGAAAAGTTATTTTAACATAGGTTCAATGACATTGACAACCGATTCTTATTCAGAATTCCTGCTCATGCATTATTCTGCAGTGCAGACGAAACAGCGTACTGAAATACGCCGACAGAGTTTCCTACTTTACTTGGACAATGCTATGCTTTACAATGCTATCAAATCAACAGCATGGACAAGCATAGTCTAGTTACTGAACAAATGACTCTTATGAGCCAGTTCTTTTTAGTGAATTTAAAACATACTACACAATCTTGTCCAACTCCCAAATGAATGACTCTTATGAACTGGTTCTTGTAGTGAATCAAAAACATACACCGCAACTAGTGTAGCCTACTGAATAGATGACACTTATGAGCCGGTTCTTTTTAGGGAATCAACAACAAAGAGTACAACCAGTGTAGTTCGACTCACTCCCCAGTGAATGACTTTTATGAGCCAGTTCTTTTTAGTGATTCAAAAATACACTGCACAACCAGTGTAGCCTGACTCTCCAATGAATGACTCTTATGAGCCGGTTCTTTTTAGTGAATCAAAAACAGAGTGCAACTAGTGTAGTCCGATTCACTCTCCAGTCTCCAGGGAATGACTCTAATGAGCCAGTTATTTTTAGTGATTCAAAAATATACTGCGCAACCAGTGTATTCCGTCTCTCCAATGAATGACTCAGTTATATGAGGTGATTCTGTTTAGTGAATCAAAAACATAGAGCACAACCAGTGTAGTTTGACTCTCCAATGAATGACTCTCATGAGCCGGTTCTTTTTTGATTAATCAAACACACACAGGTCACAATTAATTGTGAGACTTAAATCTTTTATTGTTCATTGTTTCATTGTTTCATCTGTTGTACTACAAGATATGACAATATGTAGCTAAAGATAAATCGGAATCATAAAACTCTTTTCCCTTCTTGGCTACACTGCCAGGATCAGGAACAGATTGAAATTCTGTCTTTTTCTTTTAGCTCTTGAGGCGTGCTGCTCTGTCAAAAATCTCTTCACACATACTCGACATAAGTGAGTATAGTGAAAAGCAAAGACAAGGATTGTATGATGTTCCCAGCAGGGGTATACTCTTCATTTATATTTTGACCAAGTTTTAATGCTGGAAGTTTCTCAAAGAATCATGGGTAAGAGCTGTGAAAATGTATATTTTTTTACAGCCATTTTTGTTTCCTTATAACACGAGCTGCTGCGAAGGTGTTTTACAGCTGAAGTTTCTATAAGACCCATTCCAGGTGTTAGGCCTGTGCCCTTAGCTGACTCTCTCTCTCTCCTGAGATAAAGATTTTTATAAATACTTTAAAACAGTTTGATAGTAAGCATCTTATGTAATGTTTAATTATGTAAAGCAGTGTATGCATTATACACAAACAGACCATTAATAATTGATATTTTTACAGTAGATAGTTTGTCAGCTTCATGTTATTTTTTCTTGTCCTACCCAGATGAACAGAAGGAGTGGAGGGGGCCTTTTTATTTTATCCAGGCTGCAGACCCTCAGCTGGGTCTGATGAAGGCGTGGAGGATTGGTGACTGTGATTCAGGAGGCGATGAGTGGACTGAGGAGGTCCAGCTCACAAAGCAGGCAGTCCAGGCCGTCAATAAACTACAGCCCAGACCTCGCTTTATGGTCCTGTGTGGAGACCTGGTCCACGCTATGCCTGGTAAGCCATCTTTTCCACTGAAATTGTTCTGATGGAATGCAAACGGATAGGTCTCACCTGATATTTCAGACCACATCTTGGTGAAGTATTAAAGAGATAGTCCACCAAAAAAGGAAAATGTACTCATCCTCATGCCGTTTAAAACCTGTATGCATGTATTTTTTTTAATGCGGAACACAAAAGAAGAATGTCGGTTACCTAAAAGTTTAGCCTACAGTTTAGGCCCGTTGACCCATTGTATGGACATAAAAGTACTATGAGTCAATGCAATGTTCCTAAACTATTTGGTTACCAACATTCTTCAAACTATCTTCTTTTTGTGTTTTCATTTTTGAGTGGACTATCCCTTTAAAGTCAACACAGTCGGTTGGGATTTAAGTTAATCTAAGCAGACAAAGAAAATCTGAGCTGTGCCAAATAGGGCTAGGTGGTATGATGATAAATATATATTGTGATCATAATCAGTAAAGACTATGCAGTGTTTTATGTTTACATTTGATTATTACATTCTGTAGTATTTCATATCTGCAAAAGACCAACCTGAAAAACTGTCAGTTTATTTCTTTTGTTTCTTTGGCCCTGTTTACACCTGGTATTAAGATGCGTTTTGTTGGATCGGACCACAAGTAGACGAGGGAAACACATTCCCGTTTACACCTGGTATTTTAATCCGTCTCTTTTGTCCACGTCTTAACCACTTCTGTCCTGATTTCTTCGAGGGGAGGGTCTATGGGCGGATAAATGTAGGGCTGCCGCTGCCCCCTAATATTGGACTAAACGTTAGTTGACGAGAAGAGGCTTAGTCGACCAAGATTTTATTAGTCGGTTAGCTGTTGAAAAATAAGTCACAAAAAGTACACTTCAACTCTTTCCCCGCCAGCGTTTAAAGGGTAACTAAACACTGAAACAACTTTTTTTAGTTAATGATCTGTAAGAATGGAGCTTCATAAATGCTGTTCTTTGATTCGAGTACATTTTTTGACATTTGGGTATAAAGTGTTTTAATTTTCAAATATATGGTGTAAAAACGTATGAGTGCTGCCCTCTTCAGGTTAAACGGAAAGCTCCTGCAGTAGGGGTACTCTCTGACTTAGGGTACTCTATGACGGACCTCTGTCACGCCCTTGGTGCGAGCTCACCACGCCCTTGGCAGCCCCTGGTATAAAAGCATCTGGTTCCGTCAAAACTACTGTAGCGAGTCAGGAGTTGGAATTACGAGTATTGAAAACGATCAGGATAGTTTTATATTTGAAAATCAACAAACAACAAATAAAATAAGCAGCTCTATGCACTTTTTAAGGCAAGATTCTATTCTGTGGCATTTCCTTCTGACCGTCGTCAATAGCAACGCATTATAAACACAGTGCAAATCCATGCATCACAACGGACGCGCTCTCTCGTTTCATTCAAATACAATTTGCCGTCTTGCGTCTCCGTTTTGGATTGTATTGAAAATAAAATCAGAGTTAATTTATTGTTTACAGAGTTTGATAATATTGTTGTGATCATCCTGTCTGGACGATTGTTTTGTATGCTGTACAAAATGGATTTATAAACAGGTAAGATTTAAAACATTAATGCGAACTTTTCTTCGTGGAAGCTTCACGTTTATTTCAAGTGAGTGAGATAAAATGTTTCAACTCAAAACAACATTTATAAGTGTATTGCAGCGACTTTTTTGTGCATGTTCTGCAGACAGGGTGACCATCATCGATTAAGTTTCCCTCAGGACTTTTGTAAAAGCCAAAATATGACCACACACCTCAGATTTGGCCCTCTTAAAAGGCAGAAAAATCAGATGAAGGTGGGGAAGAAAATACTTCAAATGACCGCTCTGTTGCAAAGCTACTTGCGTCACTCCAGTCGGTCTCCATTTTAGCGAGTTTGACAGCAGCTGTCAATCAATCCCTCACTGCGGTCTCAGTTCGTCCCCTCTATCTCCGCTGGGCTCTGCCCACTTTTCCAGCATTTTTCAAATATTGCCAGTGGGTGGAGTCAGGCTCTGACCAGGGGTTTAGTTACCCTTTAAAAAAAAAAAAGTTGCCAGCCACCACCAGCGTTTTTGGTCATTTTCACAAAAATGTCATGGCCCCCACAATATTTTGTTGTATGAATATCTGGACGTGCAATATATCAAAAGAAAGAAAAGAGCCTCTGCTTTTCAACAACAACAAAAAAAAAATCAGTTTTATTCTAGCGTTTTTTTGATCAACTCTTGTATGTGAGTAAGTTTCATAAAAAAAACACATCAAAGCATAGATGGAGTAAATTGAGTCCATTAACAACCCCTAATGCTTGCACAGTCCAATAGCACTTTCTGGGTTGACATTTCATTCAGTAACATTAGGCCATTTTGATTTATATGCTGTTTATTGTTGATTATAGCATTATTTTTCATATGCATCTGCTTACATATGAGATTGCTCTTTTCTGCTTCTTTTTTGCCTGTGTTTTGATCTAAAGATACTGTACTCATTCAGGAGATGCGTAATGGTGCCCCCTACCTTATAACAGTGATAACACAGAAAGCCGTAAAAACTCGTCAATGGCAGCCTTGGCAGGGAAGCGTTTTCTCATAAATGGCGAGTTAATTCGTCAATGGCAGGGAAAGGGTTAAGATTAATTTATTTTACAGTTATGATTGAAGAGGCAGGGTTTGTGCCGAGTAGAGTCTCTTTTTCAAGTTCTTTATTCTTCTATAGTCTCTAATCTTTGAGATGGCTGTTATGAAATGGAGATGTGGACCATCTGCATGAGCCGACTACCTGCAATCTCGACACACATCTAATTGCCTCAGCTCAAACTGCAAAGCACACAGGGAAATGAATAAATCACCTCCAAAGATCAGGCGGCAGTTATCCTACACACATGAGTGTGTCGACTGGAAGTCACCTGTGAAGGGGATAAGAGTGTTTATACATTAGGTTTCATGTGTCAGGTGTTTGCGCTAATGTCTTGCGCTTGAGTGCCAGTATCAAAGCGGCAGTACATTTAAAGCAGTCGTAAATGTTTCTCACCACATGAATTTAAATCACCCAAATGTTGACAGTAACTGTTTTTTCAATGGCTGACTTATCAGATTATCCCCTTTTAGAATCTGAGGGAACTCTGGAGTGTCATATTTGCTTGGTTTAATATTAGCCCAGGTTTGTGGCTTCCCTGCTGAATGTAATTTATAGGTCAGGTTATGATAAGCTGCCTGTAAAGGCACAGCCATGGAAGAGACCTTTAAATGGTCTGGCGTCAACACCCATTAGTGTCAGGCCAGAAGAGCAGGCAGATGATGCCATATGCATTACACACCATGTCCGTCATGCAGCCTGTCTCCCCTCTCTGCTCCGCACGGGCTTCACCAGACCTATGCCACTTCCTCCTCACCAGTTCTTCATTGAAGTCGGTATGAAACAGAAGCTGCGATAGTCTTTTCTTCCCTTTTGTGACGTATGTCTGAGTGAAACGGCTTTTCAAAATGTAGGGGTACTTGATTTGCTCCATGGGGAACTGATTGGATTGTTGGATGATTGTGATTGGCTACTGCTGATTTGAGTGACAGGTTGTCCCGCCCTCACACCACGCCAGCAAACATGTCGTCAGAGAATAAAAGAGATGTCGTTGCAAGTGGGAGGGGAAGTTAATTTGATTAAAGATTACGAGGGCACATGGATAAATAAATAAAAATATGTCCATGGATAAATCGTTTATAATAAATACTGGAGTATTCCATAAAAAACAAACAAAACAACAAATGTCAGTTTTAATTTCATAGCATCAGGACTTTGGTAGCAGAAGTTGGTGAAAGAGAAATCTCCCTCAAAGTTGTATTGACCTTTTCCTCACTAGTGATGTTCAGTAAAAGACAGAAAATTTTCATTTTTGATTCAAAAGTCCACTTTCCTTTGTACTAGGGCTGCATGATATATTAAAATATATGGCTTAGTGCGATTGTAAAGATACACTGTTTAAATTCCCGGTTAATTTTCTCCACCATGATGGACTGCCATTGTAATTAAACAGCAACAATGTTTATATTCCATTTCCTTCTTTATCGACCACCAGAAACTTTCTCTGACAATAATAGCTCTTGCCGATAAATGAAATAAACTTGTAGAATGTCAGCTGTCTTAATAAACCACTGCGCAGAGAGACAGTTATGGATCACACAGCAGGCAATTAAAATACTGCGACAGCGCGTGCGGATTTCATAAGCCTGGTGGTGGAAATATATCTAGGCCTATAACTTCTCCCAAATTACCCTATTACTCATATTTATTGTTAAACATCAAGTCAGATACATGTACAAACATTTCAAATATACAGTAGAATTTTTTTCAAATTTAATACCATTTCTATATAAAAGCCAGTTTCTGCCTAAAAAAAAACACAAATGTGAGTTATAAAGTTACAAGATATAAATTCACAATTATGAGAAACAAAGTAACAATTATTTATTTTATTTTTGTTTGAGGTGGAAACAGGCCTCCAAATTAGTTTTTTTTTTAAATTACCACTTTACCCTAGCCTGGGTTTCCCCATACTACCTTGCCGCAGCGCGATTTTATTCACGCTGCTAGGTAGTCTGGATACCATGGACCAAATTTTCGCCTCATTTAGGGAACCAACCACAGAACGGGGAGGGAGCAGCAAGACGATGACGCGTCTATGCGACACACCGAAGCAGTTTGTTTATACCTGCTATGGATCCAACATGGCAGCAGACGCGAAGTTACCTTTCGATGCGGCCGTTTCACATCGGCGTGAGCGGCACTTGAGCAGCGCATCAGCGTAACAAGTTTTTACCGGGTAGCCTAAATCTTCTATAAATATTTTTGAGCCTTTATTTTCTTTTATTTGCCCACTCAAGTTATTGTTAAAACTCACTAGACATGCTTATTCTGTGCATTTTGGGCACTTTTTGTGTGAAATCATATTTATTTTTGTCCATCAAAAGTGTGCTTTCACTTTAGTTGAGCGAGCGTGAGCAATGCAAAAACAGATTCGAC